AGGGCGCCCCTGCAGCCCATGGTAAGTCGATACGACTGTATTGGTCGTTATTATTGTTTAAAGTGGTCGAGCTTCATACAATAACTAACAATTGCAAGCGCATATTAATGAGAAAAAAATCAGTAATCCAAATCGACGGTGAACAAATGCAAAAAATCGCAAATTTAATTCAAGACAAGAATTCATAAAGAACTTGCGAAAGGGAACAAACTATGGGCAAGCAAGCTTCCATTACCACGCGAGAGTGAATCCATGACCGAGTGAATGCGTGGAAAAACCGACCGCTTCGAAATCGCTGCCCACTTGCACGTCGTCAGTACCTGCGTGCTTGTTCGTTGTAAATAATATGGTTCCATCATCATCAACATGTCCACTTATGGTTTTTGAGCGCGTTATCAACTTCTTTCTTTTTCTTTTAGATAGGTTATGGGATTAACAAAGGATTACTTGCGTTATGTGCACAGTGGTAGCTGCGGATGCGTTGGCTCCGCAAATGGTGAGATCTGTGCCGTTGATGAGAAGGTTTGCGCAGTTACTGCTTGTGAGAATGTCAATTTCTACAATTTGAGGACAAATGAGAAGGTAAGCCATGATATTTCTGTTTTTTTACATTCTTTAATGCGTGCTATTTGGAGTGAGTTTCAAACGTTGTCTCATATTCTGTCATGAGATGTCACTCATATCCCTATTATTCGCGTTATTCTTAAGGTTAATGAAATATCTGAATCTGTGAAGGATGCAACCTGTATAAAACTGAGCCATGACAAAAGGTGGCTTGCAGTCGGTTACGCTGACGGTGTTATTCGATTATTCGATAGGAACTCTAACGGTAAAATCTCTGTTCTTTTATTAACAGTTCTTTAGTAAGCAATTGCTTTGAAGAAATGAACAGTGTCATTTTCTCCGGTCACAAAAAAGGTGTTAACTGTTTGATGTTCAGTGATGACGGGCTTACTTTAGCCTCAGGAGGAAAGGTGGGTTTACATGTGACCTTCACTTCTGTTCTTTTCGCTAATTCTGTTTCTGCTATCAGGATTGTGCAGTCATATTGTGGGACGTTGTATCGGAAAGCGGTCTCTTTCGACTCAATGGGCACAAAGGCCCTGTGACTCATTTGGCTTTTGTGCGTAATGGTCAATTTCTGATAACATCGTAAGCATCCAAGTTTTTTTAGTTAGTCATTGTGTTGTTAATGAACTTGGTTGCAACGCATCATATTAATCTTTCCATTTACGAATCAGTTATTTTCCTTATTCGGAGTTAATCGGTTGATACAAAGGTCGCAGTGCTTTCTTGAAAGGATAATGAAAGGCTTTTTAATTGCACTACTGCTTGACTTCTTTACTTTCATGTATCTGTCCAGCAAATGTTCAGGTCCAAGGATTGTCTAGTCAAATTCTGGTGCC